GCCTAGCTCAGGTTAACCTCATTTGAATTCCTTTTGTATTCTAGGCTGGCTTCCAACTCGAGATCCTCTGCCTGCCATTCCAAATTATGGGAACTACAGGTGTGCATCACAATACCCAGCTGATAATTTTTCTTGAATTAAAGTCAATCTATGTCATTCATATATTTGTAGTCAATATGATTATATAGTAGTAATTCAACCCTGAGAAATTATCACTGAATTGCTTATGATCTATTGACTCATGTCTGCTTCTTGGAAGGATGAAGGTTCAAAGTCAGCCCAGGCAGTCTATCAGACCCTGTCTCAACAAAGTGGTGCAGTGGTACACATTGTTATCCCGTCTACACAGGAGATAGAAATTGAGAGAATTATAGTTCTAGACCAGGACAAGCCAAAAAGCATGTAAGACTCACCAACAAAAAAAAGCTGGGCATAAAACTGGGTACATGCTTATTGGCCCAGATGTAGCAGGAAGAAAAAATAGAAAGATTGAGGTCTAGGAGAGCCTGGGCAAAAAGTAAGATCTTTTCTTAAATATAACTAGAGAAAAAATGGCTGGAGTGTATCTCAAGTGGTAGAGCACCTGTCTACCAAGCAGAACACCTTAAGTTATTTATCCCAGTACTACCAAAAAAAATTATTCTATCTTAAAGATTTGTTAAAAAACATCTCATGAATGAAGTTACATTTAAGCTGCAGCTCAACTAGAACAAAACAAGGTTGTTATCACATTATTGAAAACAAACATACTGGTTTACTCATTTGTCTGTCTTTTGTATTTCCCCCCCTTAAATAGCACCTCCTCCTTCAAACATTAGTGCTTTCTTGCTTTGCAAGCACTCAGTAATATTTACATAGATATTTACATATATTTATATTTTATTGAATACAAGTCAGCATGCCAATTATAGTTTTATATTTGAAGGTTTTTATATTTATTGGAGGAGTTATTTGAACTCTAGCCACAGAAATTGGGATCATTTTCTAAGAGATATGAAAATAATAATTTTTGTTTTCTCTGCTGTGAATTAACATTTCATATCCTTTACATCTTTTGTTCTTTTTGTTTTTTCAGACAGGGTCTCACTGTGTAGCTGAGGCTAGCTTAATCTTGTGATTGTCCTGCCACAGTCTTCAGTGCTGGGATTATAGGTGTGTATCAACCTCACCTAATTCTTTGGCCATTTTTCCCTTTGTTCTTTCAAACAGTAAACTTCTAGGCATAAAAAAATTAAACATAGTATTTGAACATTTTAAAAGGTTTTTACATTACAGAGTTGATATATGCTGTGTTACAGTAAGACCCCCCCAAAACACCAGAAAAGTTAACAATTCTCTAACATCCTTATTTATGCACAGTCTTCATATAGTGAAGAACATAAGTCTTCTGTGTTATAAATCATTTTCCTAATCTTACCTTTTTCATATTAACTTCTATAGCTGCACTAAACCTATAAATCCCAAAAGAAACCAGGTCTCTCCAGTTTTAATTTTTTGGAGTTGTCACTCCAAGCTCCTTTATTATTTCATTCACAATGCTAGTCCAATAATTTCCCTTAATTTTTGGGGGGCGGGGTGATATGCCAGGGAGCTGGAGGGGGTTGTGGGGCTTGAACTCTGGGCCTGGGCACTGTCCCTCAGCACTTCAGCTAAATGCTAGTGCTCTACCACTTGAGCCACAGTGCAACTTCTGGTTTTCTGAGTGGTTTATTGGAGGTAAGAGTCTCATGGACTTTATTGCCAGTGCTGGCTTTGAACCGCAATCCTCAAATCTCAGCCTCCTAGGATTATGGGCGTGCACCAATGGTGCCTGGCTATAATTTATATATATCATCACATGTTAGGAGAAAACAATCCTTTGTGGAGAGGAAGAATAATGGAGTCTCACACCAGTTATATTCATTATTAAGTGCTAATTGACTTGTACAGGCATGATTATAGATACTCCTATAGTTGACCAACTAGAAATTTTATGGAATGCAAATGATCAACAAGTAAGTTAATGCAAAGATTCTTAAGTTTTAAGGTTTTCTGTCCTAGTGCTAACTAAGCATGTATCTGAAGAAAACAGTCTCTGCGTATTTTGAGCTTAAAATTCAGTAGGGCATAAAAGAAGGATCCCTAATTACGAAAAGAGTTTGACTATTTTGAAGTTGTAAATTTTTTGGTGAATTACGTCTTCAAAGGATAGGACTTCTGGATTAAAATAAATCTCAAAAAAAGAAAATAAAGTAAGTCTCAAAAAAGGCTGAGAATCAATGACTTACTTGGAAATTCTGGGGTTTTTTTGTTTTTTGTTTTGTCAATTGTAGGGTTTGAACTCAGAGCTGTGGCACTGTCCCTGAGCCTTTTTGTGCTCAAGGCTAGCACTCTTCTACTGGAGCCACAGCACCACTTCCAGTTTTTGAAGATAAGAATCTCCCAGGAACTTTTCTGTCCAAGCTGGCTTTGAACTGCCATCCTCAGATCTCAGCTGCCTGAGTAGCTAGGATTACAGGTGTAAGCAATGGCCACTCAACTTCCTTTTTTTTTTTTATGGGTACTGGTACTTGACTCACCCTCTGGCTTGGCTTTTTTACTCAAGGATGGCATCTGGTTCTATTTTCGATGTATTGAATACTCTTACATTTCTTTTTAAGATATAGTATATTTTGTTTAATAGACAAAGCTATTTAATGTTTTTATTCTCAGTGAGATTTTTCTTTTTAATTTAATAACATTAAATGAAATGTTTAATGTTGTACTACAGGAAATGCTTTATTTTGAAAATCAAGCCTGGGCCAGGCTCCAGTGGCTGTAATCCTAGCTACTCAGGAGGCTGAAATCTTAGGATCTTGGTTTGAAGCCAGCCCAGATAGAGAAGTTCCTGGGAGACGCTTATCTCCAGTTAACCACTCAAAACCTGGAAGTGGCGCTGTGACTCAAGTAGTAGAGTATTAGCCTTGAGCACAGAGGCTCAGGGACAGTGCCCAAGCCCTGAGTTCAAGCCCCACAACTCACCCCCCTCCAAAAACAAACAAATACAAAAACAAGCTTGGATGAGAGGCTAGGCACCATCAGGAGGGGGAAAGCTAATAAAGAGAATGAGGATGAATGTGGCCATTGTAGTTTATTGGCATATATTAAAATAGAACAATGAAACCTATTGAAATTGTTTTAAGAAGGGATAGGGGATATGAATATGAGGGAAAGATGGGGGTAAGGGTGAATGAATGATCAGTATACATTGTTTATATGTGTGAAGATGTCACAATGAAATCTTGTATTATTGATTGTTTTCTATTAAAAACTCGAAATAAGATAAAATAAAATGAAGCTGGGTATGGTGGTACACACTTGTAATCCCAGTACTAGGGAAAACCGAACCAGGAGAATAATTTGAAGTTAGCATGGGCTATGTAGTGAAACCTTGTCTCAGAAACAACATTCCCAAAATAATCAATAAAAACAAATACTTTTTTTCCATCAATGTTAAGAATTTTCAAATTACCAGTCTTTAAAAATTTTATTACAACTTGTAGAACATAGTGAATTTGATGTGCTCTGATCTCTCATTTATCATTCTTATCATTTTTAATTCCTCTTGCCTGTTTAGTTAACACACCTTAAACCAATTTAGAGAGAGGAGTGTGTGTGTGTGTGCGTGCGCGTGTGTGTGTGTGTGTGTGTGTGTGTGTGTGTGTGATGCGTGTGATGTGTGTGATGCTCTGGAATATATAATTGTCTTGAACTCTTGTGTATGAGTATATAAGAGTTAGGTTCACATTAAAGAGTAAATGAGAGACCAAAGAAGTGAAGTAGCAACATATCAGGCCTAGAGAAAGAGCTAAACAGTTTAACCTTCATATGAAGTCATGCAAGTAAGTTTTAGGCCACAGTTAAGCCTTGTAATACACAATTGGGTCAGGTTAGGAATGAGTGATATATTATTAGAAATAATATTTTCTTTAACATTACACTTGTTCTGTACTGATTGCAGTTCTCTGTAACTGCATAAAGAGTTTAGGCAGAGGTAAAGATGTTTTCAGGATCTCAGGGTTATACCACAAAAGCAGTGATTATTGTAAATTATTTTCTTCTTAAAACTATTAATTTAGTTAGTGCTGGGAATAGAGCCCAGGGCCTGGCACATGCTTGACAGGTAGTCTACCACTGAGGTAAATTCATGGCACTACTTTTTAATAAAATGATCTTTTATGACACTGTGTTTGCTTTTATGTGCCATTTTTAAAACTACCTAAATCGAAGCATTATATGCTTGGCTTTTTTTTTTTTGTCAGTCATGCGACTTGAACTCTGAAATATTTTCAGATAATTTTACAAAAATAGCATAAAGAACTTAAGGATTGAATACTGTAAATCAGTTGAAGGTCCCTATATACTCCTTAAATTATTTAGTCCCCAAAGTGAATTTCTATCTCACTTTGCACAATTTTCCCAACAGTGACTTGTACTTTCCTATAGTTCTTTGTAAATGTTTTTCTTTAAAATTCACCCCAAATATGACCTATTTAAGGAAGCCTAACCATTTCCATCTTAACTGTGTTATGTATTGTGTACAACACAATGAGAATAGAAATCTATATTGGAATTTAGACACAGTTTGACTTAATCCTGCACCAAACACAGAACAGGTATGATGCAGTAAATTTGATAGTAACCTAACAAAATAATTTTTTTTTAGAAAAGGAGAAAGTTTATTGAAAACTATGTACAGTTGGTCCACGCTATAATCTGGACCAATACCTCCCAGGCCTCGGGCAGTGTCTTAGCCCCTGACAGGGGAAGCCAGGATTGGGGCCAGGGTCCTGACCCTCTGTGGATTTTTGTGAATTTACCACTCTATGTGGCCTGGAAGTGGAGGGCTGGATTCAGGATTCCTGAAGACAGGAAACAGGTTTCCTGAACTAACCTAGCTGCAGCCTAAAGAGGGACACTATTCTGAAACTTAGGTCCAAGAAGGTTTGGAGCTAAGCTTTCCATTAGTCCTGGCTGAACTCTCACAGGAGACCTTCCTGGACATGGAGAGTTCCCCTATTACCTCTCCCCATGGGCTTCAGGGACTCCGCCTGGGGGAGACAGAGACCCCTCCTACCAACACTGACTGGGGGTCCAGGGCTCATCATCTCAGAGAGAGGGGGAAAGTCGTAGATGTGTTCGCAGGTGTTCTTGCTACTGGGAATGCAGAAACCAAAGTGGAAGTCAAAGCTCTTCAGCAGCTGGTTGCGGAAGTAGTGCCTCTTAATCATTCGGAAGTTGTTGACGGGCTTGTCACCCACTGTGAACTCCACCGTGGCTCCCACCTGCCTCAGGCTGAGGAAGGCAGGTGTGAACTGGTAGCGGACAAAGCGCCCGGCATTGGGGTCCAGGTCCCGCCGGGCCGGTTGATGGGCAACCGCTCTGAGGCAGGGGGCTTCTTGATTTCAAAGAGGACAAGTGCCTGAGTCCATATCCCGGATTTTGAACCTGATGAAGTCGATCTTGTAGATATTCTCCTCGGGGGAGCACAGGTAAATCGTCCGTGATCCGCTGCAGTCCCAGCACGTCCTCAGGCCCGATGGGCTGCTTTCCCTGCAACGGCCCGGGCCTGGGCCCGGAACCGGCCTCCGGTTCCGACTCGGACCCAGATTCCGATTGCACTCGCGGCTCCATCGTGGGCTGTAAGCTCGGGCCTGAGGCCTCTGGAGCGGGCTCCGCCCCTGTCCCGCCCCGCCGCCACCCTTCTTCACCTTCATGGCCTCGCGGGGCCGCCGCTCACCAGCTGCCTGGCTGCTGCCTGCGGGCTGGAAGGCAGAGACGACTAACAAAATCATTTTATTCTGGTATCAGCAGTATAGAAGCAGTATGGAGTCTGAAAGTGGTGAATTGCTAACACATCTTAATTGATTTCTACCATTCTTAATACTTTACATGAGATTTGACTGGCCTTTAAATAATTTCTGGATTTGCCAAAAAAAAGGGGGATAGATTCTTAATTATAACAGTTGTCAGCTTCTAGCATCTGGGAGTTAGACTCTAAGCTTTTTGCACAGTTGATGACAAAGATATATAGGTTAATACAGATTTCTACTTTCAGTATTGAAAATTTTCTCAGCTGTTTTTCCAGTGCTAGAATTCTGGCAAGGGAAACTCCTGATACATTTTTCTCGGAGCTGTTGCAGGCCTCTATTGGTTTATGCAGGTTGGAACAATTTTAGGATCCTTAAGGCCTTTAGAACCCATCTGCCAGCATGAATTTATATTTCCATGGTACCTTTTCTTTGTAAATTTTTATTTTTGTACTCTGTCTGACTCTCCCCACTTTTTGGATAGTAAAAGAGTTAAAACTTGCAATTGCCAGGCAAGTATTCTAATCTAGGGACACTATAACCCATTTTGATTTCTTTAGTTTGTTTTTAAATAAGGAATTGGATTTATCTCTAGGTTTGAAAGTCTAAGATTCTCCTATTTAATATGTTTCCCCCATGGCTGGGATGATAGTTTGCTTTTTATTAGTTCAAATGGGGTCTCTTGAACTTTTTTCTGGGCTGGCCTCAAATCACAATCAGTATCTAGAGTGAACATTTCACTGCATCACCTGTATATAGTCTTTTAAAAAATGGCTTGGTTGGGTGCCAGTGGCTCATACCTGTAATACTACCTACTCAGGAGTCTGAGATCTGAAAATCATGGTTCCAAGCCAGCTCAGGCAGGAAGTTAATGAGACTTTTCAGTTAACTACCAAAAAGCCCAAAGTTAGAGCTGTGGCCAAGTGGTAGAACACTAGCCTTGAGCAAAAAAGCTCAGGCACATAGCCAGTCCCTGAGTTCAAGCCCTAGGACCAGCAACAAACAAAACAAAAAACCCAAAATTTTTCAGCTTACTGATTAAAATTTGGCCTTAACTATATGTCTGTAGTGGACAAATGATAGCTCAGTATTACTTTTTTCATTAATCTAGTAAACTTTGCCTTTTTATTAAAATGGTTCATTTCTGTTAATAGGTTGGATTTGTGCCTGTTATTTTGCTGATTTATGTGGCTAAACCCTGTGTATAAGCCCTCAGAAACCTACATTTTAGTATTTTTTATTGTTATCCCATGTATTATGGGAAATTATTCACATTTTGTTTACCACGTTTTACAAACTGTTGGAAGTGGAGCTCTGGTGCAAGTGATAGAGTGCTAGCCTTGAGCACAAAAGCTCAGGGACAGTGTCTAAACCCTGAGTTCAAGCCCCAACACGTGCACTTGCGCACATACACACATACAATTAAAAAGCTGTGTCTTCTGTTACATAGATTGAATGTTCCTCCCACTTCCCAAGGGCATAGATTTATTTTATTGGTCCTGTACTTTTGTTCATTTTCCAGTTTTTTTTTATTGTGCATCTCTTAAGCTAGGAAAGTACTTTCCTTTTTTCCTTCAATCTTTCCCTTCCCCCTAATCCTTACTCTGCTTTCCAAGTTGTGTATATGTTCAGTAGAATTTTACTTCTGTGTCCTTAGGAATATTCTCACGCACCCTTTTTTGAACAGTCTACATGTATCAGGTCCTGTGGACACAGAGCTAGATGATGTTTGCCTAATCTCTATACTCAGGGAGTTCTCAATCTGGGACAGACAGTAAACATATAAGTAATACTGTACCATGATTTCTAAGAGTACTTTATGCCTCAAAATATTGACCCTTTTAATGCTAGTTTGACTGTTTATTATCTTAACTCTGGGTTGCTTTGGGGAATTTTAATATCAATTTAATATCAGTGTATTATCCAATAATTCCTTGCTGGAAGATTTTGAGATTTTATTGATTCATCATAATGGTTCGTTTTCTATATGTCATAGTTTATGTTTTTTATCAACCTTGAATTTGTATTTGTTCATTCATTGAGTTACTGCTTAATTTATTGGGGGCCCACAATGTGCCAGAGTGTATTTCAGATATTTTTATTTTATTTTATTTTTTTGTTGGTCGTGGGTCTTGAACCCTTGGCCTGGGTGCTGTCCTTCAGCTCTTCTGCTCAAGGCTACTGTTCTACCACTTGAGCCACAGCATCACTTCTGGTTTTCTGGTGGTTTATTGGAGATAAGAGTCTCATGGATTTTGCTGCCCAGGCTGGCTTTGAACCTCAATCCTCAGATGTCAGCCTCCTGAGTAGCTATGATTACAGGCATGAGCCACCAGTGCCCTGCTGTAACTTCTCATTTCTGTATTGCTTAATATGGAGCAGGGTATTAAAGTTTGAAATTGAAGCCTTTGTTTGCCAAGCAGGTGCCCTACTACTTGAACCATGTCCTCAGCTCTATTTGCTTTTGTTATTTTTCAAATATGGTCTTACATTTATGCCTAGGCTTGCCTGTCCTAAGATCCTATTTATGCCTCTCTATAGCATGACAGGTACACACACGCCCACATACAAAACTTTCTTTGGTTGAGATGGAGTCTTTTGAACTTTTTGTCTGGGATGGCCTTGAATCTCAGCCTGCAGAGTAGCTAGGATTATAGGCTATTAACTCTAACTTTTTAAATTGTTTCCTGATTTATTCTGGAATTATCCTCCTCTGCTTAATCTTTTAGCTCACTAATATATTTATTCTAATATTTATCTAATCTGTAGTTCTTTATTTCAATATTACATCTTCGTATCTTGGTTTTATTATTCATTTATTTTTGTGCTGTGTGTTCTGTCTCAGACTTCCAAGTGATAGCATGTGCTACCACTTAATAGATCATTCTGGGGTGTATGGATGTGTGGTGGGGGATGTAGGGGAAGCAGGAGCAAAAATGAAAGCAGGAAGATTATTTTAAAAGTTTTTATAATCATCTATTCAAAAACTAATAGTGACTTGAGGTAGATAGATTATAGCAGTTAAGATGATAAGACATAGATTTTATTCACCCTGTGCTTTTCTCAATTTTTTGTTTAATTGATGGATGGGTGGGTGGATGGTGCTGTCTTTTAGTGAAATGGAGATGAATGAGTGAGGGTAGTAGAGAAATTTGACAATCAAGAATTCTCTATTGTCTCTTTTGGTCTTTGATAAGCCTGTTTGAAGATGTGTAGTAGACAGTTGTTACATAAATCTGGAATTAGAGATAAGGTCTGGGATCTGAGATACAGATTTGGATATAAATAGCATATTAATGTTATTAAAGTGTTAAGAATTATACCTGTTAATGATTTAGAATATAGAACAGTGCCTAATACCAAGTATTGTGAATATATAGAAGTCTGCAGACTATTCCCCATAGCCAAGTTATAGGAACAACTCCAGTTCTAACAATTGGATCAACAAAATGTATAATTTGCCAAAATTTGCCTAGTATTTGGGGCCTGTTAATAACACTTCCTTAGGTGCCTTTGCATATTTGCATATTACATTATTACATCTTTGTACAAATATAACTAGGATAAATTCATAAGAGGACAAAGACCATTATTTTTTGATGACTTCTGCAAAATTGTACTTCCAAATTGAATGATGTTCCTGAACTTTTGTCAACATGGCCTTAGTCTTTGTAGATTTTTGTTTGTTTTTGTTTTGTTGGCTGTAAAAAGAATTAAATTCAGCCGGGCGCTGGTGGCTCACGCCTGTAATCCTAGCTACTCAGGAGGCTGAGATCTGAGGATCGCGGTTCAAAGCCAGCCCGGGCAGGAAAGACCGTGAGACTCCTATCTCCAATAAAACCACCAGAAAACCGGAAGTGGCGCTGTAGCTCAAGTGGTAGAGCGCTCGCCTTGAGCTGAAGAGCTGAGGGACAGCGCCCAGGCCCAGAGTTCAAGCCCCACGACGGACAAAAAAAAAAGAATTAAATTCAGAAGTGGCACTGTGACTCAAGCGGTAGAGCGCTTGCCTTGAGCTGAAGAGCACAGGGACAGCGCCCAAGTCAAGAGTTCAAGCACCACAACCTACCAAAAAAAAAAAAATTAAATTCAAGGTCTTGTGTTTACCTGTAGTTCTTTTTGCCTTTTTTTTTTTCCCCTATTTGCTTTTCAAATAGAGCCTTGTCTGGGTAGTCCTCTGACCAACATGATCTTACTTTGTGTTCTAGGATTAAAAGCATGTGATACCACACTTAATTCTTTTTAATTATTCATTTTCATGTATGTTGCATGTGTTTTCATATGTCTTTTATTTATTTTATATAAGATTGTTGCCTTGTGATTTCAAATTTTCACTTTATTATTTACTTAGATGTGTTTTGTGTTTTTTATAATTTTTTAGATCATATTAGAAAGGATTTCTCCACTTAAAGGATGTTTTTCTAGTTCTACAGTGGCCTAATTTTTATTTCTGAATGAGATACCATATTATTTTATTATTATTTTTGGGGGGGGTCAGGTTGTGAGGCCTGAACTCTAGGCCTGGGCGCTGTCCCTCAGCTCTTCAGCTCAAGGCTAGCGCTCTACCACTTGAGCCACAGCACCACTTGAGGATTTTTTTCTTTTTGCTTATGTGGTGCTGAGGAATCGAACCTAGGGCCTCATGCATGCAAGGCAAGCGCTCTACCACTAAGCCACCTTCCCAGCCTCGAGATACCATTTTAATTTGGCAGAATTTGCTGTAGAATTCATTTCATGAGAAGTAATCTAGATATTTTTGAAAAGAAATATGAGTAGAAGAATTCAAGTCAGTATTAGAAAGATATACAGTCATTAGCCAGCTATGCCAGTAACACAAGATCAGAATTTGCCATCAACAAATATGCAATTATAATTGCTGATATCTATGACAGTTAGATCACAAATACACAGTGAAACTAAAGTTACAAAAAGGCTCTATGAAGGGCT